GTGAAAGATAAACCTACCCTAACACCACCGCTAAATCAGACGTAAGTTAGTAATCATGTGGTATAATGTAGTAATGTAATATGATATACTGTGTAAAGCATATAAATCTAACATCTATCCCTCGCGTGCAATACCTTTGCTAGCAACTATCTCACAATTCTATCTCACAATTCTGTTCAAATGAATGAAATCTTGTCAATAGACTACTCTGAGTTGTTTAGTACTTTCCTGTGCAGAATTTTTTTCACGAGGAAAAATCTGGCCAACAGGGTGAGTTTCCATATTCGAATCAGTGACATCATCATGGAAAGATATTCTCAAATTCTTAGTGGCAAAAATGGACAAACGTGGAGCCATTGAACCTCACAAAGCCGTTCTTAAGGTAAAAAGAGTGAAAACTGCTCAAATTTATTTTTATTAATGCAGCTTGCTCAATTAAGAGATTCCGAAGCATAAATGGAAAAAGTGCTTGAAATCTCTTTTTAGGTGTTTAAAATTTAGCGCTGCAGCATTTATGAGTTGAAATGATGTAAGTCATTGGCAAAGTCCTAAATTCGCTTCGCATCCAGCAGAACAACTCCAGCAGGTTGGTCCAGGCTCGTAAATAGCCGCACTGAGGATGTTCCCCCTAAAATTCATTTTCTTTGGAATGATCATTTCGTATTTTATAAAAATGGAACCTTGGCGAGTATCGACAAACTACAACGTAATTTGATGAGCACTTCACAATCGAGCATCCCAGACTTCTTGTCGTAGCCCATGCCATCTATAAACAATACGTAAATCAAATTGTAAGCACTCTAAGGCCATGAAATGTGCGATGTTCGCTCACTTGCGTGAAGGTGGTGATTTTGGCATTGAGATGTTCAGAGCGAAATAGGGTAACCATCTCATTGCTGGGAGAACTACGAAAAACGTCCCACCATGATCTAACGGTCTGAACCATGCAAGGCAATAACTTTCATTTGATTTTTAAAGTTTATAGCTGATACCATTTGAACTCCATCCTC